ATGTGTATAAATAATTAATTTTATAAGAATTTTAATAATTTAAGGGAAGAAAATGACATTAATAATAATAACGCAGAAATGCATGGTTTGATAGTAATATGCATATTTCATAATCATATAGAAATTGTACATCAAAATATAGATTTAAAAAAAAATTAATTCAGATAACATTTGGTTTTGAAAAAATAAATGTAATGTTGTTTTGAGTTATCAAGAATCAATCATCTTTTAAGTATCATAATTATTAATTGAGATATGAGAGTCATCACGATGTAAAACTTCTAATCCAGAAAAGTAATCCAGATATTTTTTTTTTTTTAATGAAAATAATTCTGATACAGACTGACGGCGAATTATGCTCTGTTACGTTCTCTTTTGTTACAAGAAGTGGAAATAATTCCTGCTTTTTACAGGAATTATTTTTTTACAGTTATTTATTTTTTTAAACAGGAAGTGAAAATATTTTCTGTAACGTAATTTCTCTTTTCTTTTACGAGAAATGTTAAGTTCTCTGTTTTTCACGAGAAGTACAAATATTTATATCGTAAAAGATTTCTTCACTAGGTCATAAAAATAGGAAAACAAATAAAAAGAAAAAAAAATATTCTCGTCATCTAAGACGATATAATGTATAATTGTTTTGTATTGAAACTTGGTTTCTTGAAGATTTCTTATACTTAATTTTTTCAAGTGTAAAATTTTACATTTTTACAAAACTTTTTCAACTTACTGTTAATAAATATAATGAATAACTTAAATAAATATTCAAAATTAGATTTAAAAATGTTCAAAGTAATAAGAGAAGCATTATGAAATTATTTTATAAACTACCCAAAAAATCGATGCTCTGATTCGCAAAAAAAAAAGAAAAAAAATGGTGATCAGTTGAATTGTGATCAGCTAAAAAAATTAGATAGCATTCACTAACATCAATAACACAAGACATTAATTTCCACAATAAAACAAGAATATGAATAAGTTTTGGAATATTTGGTTTCGCGTGACCCAAGAGAAATCGATCGATCTATCTTTATTTAAATGCAGCCCCATTGATTATCAAGAAACAAGGAACGTTTCTAAGTAATCAGATTTCACTGCCCGAGTAATTGGGTCGTTTTCAAATATTTAACGACCTCTGATTAAGTGAAAGCAAGAAACGGGCGCCAAATCGGCGAAATTCAAAACATTTCTCGTATTCTAAAGTAAAAAATGAAACAAAATTTGAAAAGGGACATTTTAATGAGATTTGATTATGCTGTACGCTAAGATAATTTACATCAATGTAAAAAACTTACAGTGGATTTCCAACTCCGTATCTCCATTTAATTGGAATGCAGATTAAAAAGAGAAATAAGGAAAATAAATAATGCTTTTAATTAATTTCTTTTTTACTAAAAATTTATTTTAATTTATATCTACATATATTACGTATCGATCCAGCTTGCTAAAATGCGTAATGCGTTTTTATATGTTTTATATTCTTATTGATTTAAACTTATTGATAGTAATTAAAAAGTTTTTGAAAATGTAATTAAGGAGGTAGTAATGCAAAACTGATGGCAGTAAAAAGGATAAGAAAAATTTCATAGATAATACTTAACTACTAGGATAGTAATGATTTATTTATTACAAAGTAAATATCGTTCAATTATATGAAAGCTTTGCATATATTTTTAACTTGTAAATTTCTTTGAAAGTCTAACTCTTGAAGTTAATTAGTTAAAATTATAAATTATTGTTTAGGAGCACTATACATAGAGATCGATATTAAACTTTCAATTTCATAAAATACTTCTAATGAAATAGAATTTAACGATTATATTCCTGAGTACACAAAAATAACAAACTAATTTTGAAATAGAAAATAGATAGCATGTATTATATGAAATATATTTCCAAATTTTCTAAACACATTATTATGAAAGTTTTTTTTTCAATGAGAACTCAATATGTTAAAATAAATAAATATTTACATAAAGTAATAAATCTATTTCTAAGGTGAAATGAAAAAAAAATTAAGCTTTCAGAAAGTGATAAACAACTTTGAAAAAATTTACGACTTCGCACAAATCTTCGAAAATATTCTAGAATTTTCTAGAAATTTTTATTTTACTGTAAGAAAAGAATACAGTAAAATTTATTTATATTACCTATCAAAAGTTCAAAAAACCTTTATAGAAAATTCCTATAAAAGAAATTTGGATTTTATGAAGGTTAAAATTTTTTATGATAACACAAAAAAAAAAATTTATTTGTTAAAAATAATCCTTAATTTTTGGAAGTTAATCTTTATCTCAGGCAAAATAAAAAAAAATTCATGTGCAGAATACTAATTACCAGAATTACAAACAATTATGGAAATTAAGAAAAAAGTGGAAAAGAAAAAGACCAAAAAGAGATTAAGAAAACAAATAAGAACAAAAGAAAGAAAATAAGAATTAACCGAAATAAAAATTCAGTAACTTTTGGCGATGGAACTCGTCTATCGAATTCACACCAAAATTCGCCAAATAGGCGATAAAATACTGAACTCCCACCTTTTCGCGATTGCATGTCTTGTGTCTATTGATTTTCACTGGGGGTTCGGTCGAAACCATCTGTTTGCTCCCTTAAGGGGGTGAGAGGGTAGCAAAATCTTAAGGGGGGTCATTTGTGTACAATTGGGGGGAGGCTGAAAGTATGGACAGACACCTCCACGCGTGCGCACTTCCCTTTTAGCCATGTAATATCCCTTTTACTATTGATCATTTCATTAAAACAAGGGCGAAGAACACTCGGAAATTAACTAATGGAAGAAAACGTTTCTTCTATTTGTCCAGCTTCCCGTAAAGATTGAATAACGAACAGCTGCATTTTAACCTCAGGATGTTGGATTTGGGGTAAAATTAACAATGAGAGGGTTAAAACGAAAGGAATTTATGCATTCCAAACACGAACTCCAGTGAGCATGATAAGACAAGATTAATAGTCCAGTAAGAGATAAATGCTATTTAAGACTTCCTAACTATTAATCAAAGCTTGGTAGAAGTTAGTAATCACAAGAGAGATGTAAATTAAAGGTGTCTATTTTAAATACAAAAATAGTTTTTTTTTCTTCCAGATGATACTTTTCTTTAGATTATAAACTGATAAATGTCAGTTTTAAACCATGGGAATGATTACAGAAGAATTCTTTTCTTAATTTTCCTATTTTGCTAGAATTCTTTCAAAATTCTTGATTGCAAAATTTAAGAAGTTTGGTTGAAAAAAAATGTTAAAATCAGTAAGTTAACGTATATTAGTTTATGTCTGAAGAAGAAGCGCTTATTTATTATTATTATTAGCAAGAGCTCTTGATTTTCTAGAAAAGTGTATTTGCATAACAAAGAGAGAAAAAATAAAGTATGATAAAAATTTCGTATGAGTCTAAACACATACTAAACTAATGACCAAACATTTTTTAACAGAAATTATTTGAAGGAGCAACATTCAGAAAATTCACGAAATTTTAAAAAAAAAGAACATTCTGTCAATTAAAAAAAAAAAAATTAGGAAAAATAAAACAATTTATTTATTTAGCTAACAGCAAAAATATTTACTGAACAAAAATACGACTTCGACATGATCATCTTGCATAGTATTTTTAAGAATAGTGTGCTAAGATTAAAACACTTTCTTTATGATTAAAGCAATTTATTAGTTATTAGTTTCGTTAAGCTAAAAACATTTTATGAAAAAAATTGATAATTAATAAATAAAAAAAGGCCAAATGGTTTTTTGCATGAGATAGGCTTACCGCAAAAGAACATTACGGAGATGATAAGGAACAAGAATAACGGAAGGCAATTATCTCAAAATGTAATTGTCAACTAGAACAATATGTCAATTTAATACATTCTATTTGCCAGAAATAATGCAATATGGCGGAAGGAACGTGGCGAGAACGCATGATTGTAACGTTTCTCTGCAAGCAACGTAGGTTTGCGGTGAAAACACATTTACAGAAACCAATGAGGAGAACTTCACATGTAATTAAAATCGTTTTATGCTGTCATAATTCGCTGTCTACTTAATGTTTATTCATTTAATATATTTAATATGATAAATCTAGTTTGAGTCGAAAAATATTTTTTATTTCTCAAGAGAGGAAATGTTTTTACTATGAACTTAATAGGTGTAGGAATAATACTAAAAAGTTGTAGAAAAGTATTGTCTGCTGAATTTCTCAATAATTAATGTCTCTTGTTATAGCATTTAGAATAGTTAATCTATTTTGAATCGAAAGATGTTCATTTTTTCTTAAGGATGGATCTTTTTGTTACGCACTTAATCGGTCTAAGAATAACATTACAATGTTGCAAAAATTATTGGCTTCTGAACTTTTAGAAAAGTAAAGTGTTTTGCTATTAAAGATGTATTTAGAACTTTTTCTATTTAAAAATATTCATTCATAAGGAAAAAATAAAATATTTGCGATACTTTTCTTTATGCAGTGTAATTAATGTTTTGAATTCATATCTTATTTCGAATTTATTACTTTTGAATTATTGGATTAAGCAGAATACGATTTTATTTTAGAAGTTCAACTCATCGAACGAAAGATTAATTATATTCAAACTAACTTAAAAGAAAAACACGAAAGAATTTTTTTTGTCTCTAAAACTGACGCTAGCTTGTATCACGTATCTTGATTTTATATCAAACAATGGGAAGAAAAAATAATAAACATTTTAATGCAGTACAACAAAACGGAACATGAAGCAACTCATTAATTCTTAGAACAGCCCACAGAATGTCTTCATCAGAACAATAATTAAACCTTTAAAAACATATTCGGAAAATAAGCTTCAATAAAAAAATCTGATTTATTATCAAAAATGGCCACAAACACGAAAAAAATATATAGATTTGTATATAATAGATTTGCTTTCGTTAACAATAAATAAATCAAATAAACATGCTAAATATGCAAAAACTAATAAAAACATGCAGTATAAAGTGCAATAAAATTAAAAACTCACCCCATTTTCAGATGATGTCTTGGCGGATGGGATTTGTTTCTGAAGAGCATAAAGGAAGGAAAAAAAAAGAAACATTCAGGAAAAGTGCAGTGGTGGATAAGGATAAGCAGTGCAATAGTGCATAAATAATAAGCAGTGATAAATAAATACAAGCTAAATACAAACATAAGTGTCACTTCATAATAGCACTAGCCGCTTTTGGCGACCAGCTGGCCCGATTTTAGGAATTTCAAGTACTTAGATATTTAAAATCGTACATTCAAAAATCAAAACAAAATGCAACTATAAACTCATATTACCCAGTCTTTATATTTAAATGACACGTTTAATTGGCAATTTAAATGAATTTCTAATAGCTAATCAGTTTTATTTAACTTTTTCAAGCCAAGACGAAATATGTTTTGCTGTTAAAAATTCTTCCTCTTTTTAATATTAAGACCCAAGATTTAAAACTTAATTGATCTAGAGCGCTAACATATAGTTTTACATTTAATGCATCGAGCCGAGCTTTGTGCCGAACCTCAAACCAATAAAACCTTTTTCATAAAATAAATAGCATAGAAAGGACTATGATAATTAGGTTTGCAAGCAATAGTTGGGACAAAAACAGAGAAATCAGATATGAATTTCGGTTTAGAGGTAAACTATTATTAAGAGACTGAGGAATATTAGGATAATTGAATGAGGAATATTAGGATGATTGTTGACAAAATGATGATAAAGTAATAATGGTGAATCAGAAAATAATAGCTCTTTCTAAAATGTAATTATCATTCAGAAATAGAATTAGATCGAATTTTGTCTCAACCTTATTTGTTCGTTGAGCCAAGTGCTTCGAATTCTTGAACTTTTTGAGAAATTGTGACAATGAAGTTTTAAAAAATCATGTGTCTCTGCGCTAACCTAAAGAAAAAATACTGACATTAAATGTAAAAGATTCACTGAATTTAATTTACATTAATATTTTAAAAATAGGGCTTTGATTGCAATTTAAAATATATGCTTTCGGCAGCACTTTAGATTGGCAAAAATAAATTTTATAACTAATAGTAATTTAAATAATTAATAGAAAATTGTAATTGCATGTTTATCTTCATCACATCCTTCAACGTTTAGCAATAAGAACGATAAGTTAAAAAAAAATCCACCAATGTAAATTTTGTTTACGTGAATTTATCAGCCAACTTAAGAAGAGAAGAATAATACTAACTGTAACAAATATTTAGAACACGTTATTTCTAAAATGATAATTCAAAATTAATAGCTCAAAGTTGTAATTGGATTTTAATTACACTGAGAAAAGTTTTTCTTTTTCTTTTCTTAAAAAAAGCGTCTTAACACATTTTTGAAAAATATTATTATGTTTTTAATATGAAAAAAAAAACTGCTAAAGAAAATTCAGTTCATTAAATTACAGAAGCAATTAATTTATCTTTTGAACTTTCACATACCAGCCAAAGCTAAGCATGTAGATAGAGATAACTGTTAATTTAGAACCTTTAATTACAAAACGCATATTCTTATAGTAACAGATAGGACCTATCTCTTGCAATTTACAAGCTAAAAGCATTATAATTTATATGAATCAGCTAGTGATTCATATTTAATGCACAGAAATTAAGCGCTACAAGTTAAAATGAATCATAAATCATTCGCCAACAGTAATTACTCAAAACTGAGCCCAGAGTTCTAATTTTTAAAGCAGTTAATCCTAATAATTAGCAAATAAATAACTAAACAGGTAGGTATAATTATAATTTAACGCTTTTAAAAATGTAATGGCGCTTAACGAAGAGAAACCGCGCATCTGTCTTAAGGAAAAGTTTTCCACAAGAGTAACTTTCTCTCAAAAGTAATTATTCTTGGCGCTTATTCTCTATTAATTATACTATTTGCGCCTAATTGATTTTGTTCAAAGATGCGTGTTGAGAATGAATTTGCTTATTCATGGATCTCGCAGTACGAGACAAAACTCGTGAGCGAATTATCATGTTATTGGAAATTCCCGAACAAATAGATAAGTTTTAGTTATTCTGTTCATATCTGTTGGAGTTAGATAATTAGATCGAAGTTTTAAGAAGCACGCCGTTAAGTCAACAACTTGGTTTTAAATTGGAATAACTTTCGTAACGATAAGGTGTCCTTTGGAATTTCGAAAGAATAGTTCAGTTGATTACGCATGGTAACCGAATGTTTAATTCATTAGGATGGAAATTCTAACTTCATTATGATAGTTTGAGTTTAAATAAATAAACACAACAGGCTAAGATTCATTTGTCCTGAAAAGATAATTAAGACGATAATATTTTTACTTCAGAGCTTATTGTTTAGTTCACTGCTCTTATTTTAAGTCTTTCCGGAAAAATATTATTTGCAAAAATACTTAAAAAGGCGATACGAGAGAGATACGAAACTAAATTAATATTTTCAGTTTTTTTCGTGAAAATCATTATTTTACAAAAGAATGATTTTTCTTCCATAATTTAATTTAGAACACGGCTCAGAAGAAAAGATTGAATCGGAACGAACTCAATGAAGGAAAAAACCACGTGTAAATTACATTGAGAAGAAAACTATGAAAACCACATTTAGCCCTACCTATCATTGATTAAGAATTTGGTATCCAAATTGTCAATTTTTTTATTATTAATTTAAAAATATTACTATTCATTATAGTTCAAATTTTGTAAAAGAAAATATTTTTCAGTCTCAATTACCCTGCTAAAAACTCAAGATCAAATTGGGGTAAAAATATCAGCGTACTTTTTACAGTCATATTACCGGAGCATATTACGGAAAGAGAAATCCAATATACCGTAATTTTTACAGTAATAATTACCGCAAAGCCACTGAATCAATCTAATTAATGAAAGATTACTGTAAAAATTACGGTATAATACTTAATGGTAAAAATGAATTTTACGGATGATGCACCCAAAAACCAGTTTTTTATACAATAGTTCGTTCACAGTGTAGATTTTGTTACAAGACTAAATAAGTATAGATGAGGCTGAAAACTTAAATGCATTTTCCATCGTGTTTATTTATTTATTTATTTTCATTTTTGTTACTTTTAAAATTTTATAACTCAAAAATTACGAAGTCTGAAATACAAATAATTTAAAATTTGTCTCGATAAAATTTGCAAAAAAGTCTCAGAATTTGATATCTAAATAAAAAAATTTATTAAAATGAAAAAGAAACATAATGCTTAGATCAAAAACTAATGTAAATATATTTAAAAAAATTAATTTTTTTCTTTCACAATTACTTAAAAATTATAAACATTAATATACAAAATCGCATTTATCTGCATTAAAATTTTTTTAAACTTTAAAATCTCGTAAAATATTTCTTATTATATTTTAGTAGTCTTTAAATGTTTGGTAAAATATTTTGAACAATTTTAGTGTCTTTCTCAAATGTGGAAACGGAATAATCAATACATGCATTCGCAGAAAAGGGAGAAAAAAAATGTCCAACACTTCATTTTCTGTTCTCTATTACCAAGAATAATTGGTTAGGGACTTAGGAATAGGGTTCTTTGCTGCTTATCTTTCAGCATAGCGTGACAAAGAATGACTGGGAATTACAATTGTGATTCATTGGTATTAAGAGATTAGTGACATACTCAGGGCCCGCATCGGAAACAACAATTTGTTTGTTGTGCTGGACTTATAACTATACCGATATTATTAATGGAGGTAATTGCATGAAAAATTTCTGATATTTCATTTGTCCTTGCCTTGTTGTGGAAGCTGTTTTTTTAATGATTCATGAAAAATTTATAACCGTTATAACAGCAACAATATTTTTATGACTGATTTCGTAATTTAATTTATAGTTCCTGCAACCTAAATAGTATAGATGAGGTATATAAATTTTTCAATAACTAACCAGCATTTATGGGGCATATAACTATTTAGAATATAACTGGGCTTATAAAACCGAAAAAATAGTTTTTTTAATATGTAAAGATTTGATAATTAGATTTATAGTTAATTAGAGGGATAGATTTAATTGCTTCGTCAGTGGTTGACGATTGTGGTTCGAGGATCTCTTAGAGTTCTTTTAGGCAGTACAGGTTGTTTTGAAATTGATTATAAATAAAGCACTCTAATATTTTAACCCATTTTTCACTGCATATCTAATAAACAAGTATTATATTATATGAAATCAAAGTATTGAAACAAACGTAAATTAGAAGAGGCCATCCAAATAAAATATTCTTATACAGAGAAATGAATTGTGTTATATGTTTCATGAAGTAATTAATTTATAAAATTATTTGGGGAAAACAGGGTTTAATAAGGTTTATAATAATAAGGTACATAATAAGGTATATTTTTCAAATTTTTCATTATTTTAATTTATACTATGTTTTTTTAAAATCATAAATGTTCATCCCTATAAAAGTGCAAGACCATTTATTGAAAGAAGCATGAATTCCGTCTTACTAACATTAATTATAACGTAGCTCCTTAAGAGAAAGAAATCAAGTCTCAAGATCGTTTGAAAGTAAAATACCAAGGGCTACAAATGCGTTTGAAAGGAAATTCTGAAATAATTACTAATTTCATAAATGAATCTCATCGATGCCAATTAACAAACATAATTATTTCGCCAATACAATATTATTATTAAAGGAACTTTAAAAACCATCTCTTAAGTCTTTCATTTTTACAAACTGCTGATAACAATGTTCCTACAAGTCCTCAGAACGTTATATAAAAATTATAGTAAAGTATCTATATGTTTTACTATAATTTTTGTAGTAATATATATGTACATACATATATGTTTTCAATTTACAATAGCTAAAAAGAGAACTTATAATTGCTCATTTAAAGTATCTTTCAAACTTGGTAAATTAGTTCAATATTACATCCATCGGCCTCAAAACATTTGAAAATATTTCCACTATTTTGTTATAAGCCTATATACAGCTATGAAACAAAACGCTTATAAAGTTTAAAGTTTTATTTTATTAAAAATTGCCTGCAAAAATGTTTGATATTTATAACTGTACAGCGGTAAAA